GTTCCACAGTCTTCCTCTTACCCATGAACCTAGCTGTCCAATTTCAGTCAGGGGAAAGTTGGCTTCCACCCTGCAAAATGAAACAGCTCCGCCAAGATGGCACTAAACGTGGAAATGCTCTGGAAAGCATCAAACTCTGGACTCCAGCCTTTTGTAAAAAAATATGAGGCCTTATCTAGGGCAAGAGTGTCCCCAGAGGCCTCAAGTGCCCCTCAGGGGTGGCAGCTAGCCATTAGGCACACTGGCGAGCACGCTGCCTTAACTGAGCTGGCACCATCAGCACCTCCCACAGCCCCAGCAGAGGCAGAGAGGCCGCCCCTGCTGCTTTCTACCCTTTCTGAGCATCCTGCAAATACGAACGCCCGGATCCGCAGGGGAAGGAAAATGTGTGGCCAGGGTATTTGCATTTGGGCACCAATGCAGGGACACGAATGGTGGCCATCCGGAACTCGTAAGCAACAAAAGCCAGAGCTAATCCCCAAAGTAATAACAATAATAAATATAAGTGCCCTTATTCTTTAGGTTTGCTGCCAGATTTGAAAGAGGAAATTAACAATTTCCCTATTGGCTTGTTTCAAAATTAATTTCAGCTCTTGTTTATTTCCAATATTTGAAGCAGCCCCAGCGAGTCCGCTGGCCTGGCCCGCTAATGACTGAACGGGGATGAATGTCATGGTTATTCAGGAACTGACTAAGCCTCTCTTGGCCTTTCTGAGTTTTTCTGCTCCTTTCTAGGTGTCAAAGCAGTAAGTTACTTTTTTTGTGGCGACACAAAAACATTGACAGGATGTTCACTGTGAACACAGGCTGTTTCATTAGACGTTCAGGGAAGAGTTTGGTGGCTCTGAGAGGACCACTGAGGAGCCAGGGAAATGACTTTGCCACCTCTGGCTTGGCTTTCCTTTTGTTCTTCCAGAAGTGCATCCACCCTGACCAGACCATTTGGCTTAGTTCTGGAACCTTCCTTATCCAAACACCAATGAAACCCAAGGAGCCAGCTGCTACCCATGGAAATACACGTGGGCTTCTGTGCAGCTCTCCGATTTCCAGCAGAGGTGGATTCTAGCAGTCTGAGGACCGGGTGGTGCCCAACCCGGGAACATGCGTGCCGGTTACTGTAACTGGACCACCAGGGCTTCCACTGAGGCAGCCATGGCATTTAGAAATAGGCAGTTGGGAAGGCAGAGCACATACACACAGAACAAGGCGGGAACACAGGACTGTGACCCTAAAATGTCACTGTGTGGCTCTATAGACTGGAGGCACGGGTGCTGAAGTCAACAGAGGTTACCTACGTTGTGCTATGATTGCTACTTTGTGAGTTCACTGCTATGAATGCCAGATGTCAAGGGCATCTCCAGCTCATGTACACTGTCAGCAAAGTGCTCCTCTAATGTCTATCACTAGGAATTAAATATCTGGAACCAAAAATGTTACTTCAGTCCGGGGGCATACCTAGGAAAGCGGGAGACTTACCTCTGGCTCCTGGGTCATTGTTTCCATGTGATGGGCCCTTCTGGGCTGCCTCATCTCTCCTCTCTTGGGCCAAGAGCAGTGGGAATGTGCTGTTATAGGGTAGAGATCACAAGGCAGCAGGACACACCCACCCAAGGTCCTTGAATCCCAAATTTACTTGAATCCCAAATTCACTTGAATCACAAAAATAACACCTGCTTTGGGGAAGCACAAGGAGTCCTTATGACTCATGCTGTGGTGAAATTTCATTTCCTTTTCTGTTTAGACCCAGAAGAGCCAGGGAGAGGAAGAGCAACATTATCTTTTTATTGGCAAAATGCAATCATCACTTCTGTGCCCTTGGCCAAACTTGGCACACGTAGCGGGAGTTACCCCACAGGAAAGATCAGACAGAGATGCCGACCATTTCTGCTTTTAACTTCGTGTCGAGAAAATCAAAGCCACCGGCTCTCAACCTCGCATACATGCTGGAATCACCTGGGCAGTTTTTAAAACTCCTGATGCCTGGTCCCACCCAGAGGTTTGGATTTAACCAGTAGAGGACAGGCAGCTTGAGTGTTGAGATTTTAAAACCCTTGGGCATTTTAATGTGCACAAAAGCAAGAGTCACTTGTCTACATGAAACCTGGGAGCCACAGACGAGGAACTGAGATCTGGGGAAAGCTATGCTTTCAGGAGACATACATGCTCTTCTTATCCGGGTGTCCCCGTTATCTAGTATTTACTGTCTTTGGATAAGGAACATCATGTCTTTGTACCTCCATGTTTTCATCTGCAAAATACACTATGTTCCCTGCAATGCTTACTGAGGTGCTGTGAGGATCAAACGCAGTAAGAAAAGACTGAGAAAAACACCGAGCACTATGTAAATGCAAGCGTTAGACGATCATTATTTTCTTTGTCAGTGTGAGGCTGGTAGCAGTGATATCAGCATTTACTGTGCTCTTACTCTATGCCAGATCCTATGTTAAGCACGCAGTGTCCTCCATGGTGGACATTATAATTCTTTCTGTTTTAAAGCGCAGAAACCAACCAAGACGCAGGAAGGTAACAAGGTACAGAAAGTAGAATACTTTTTTTTTTTTTTTTTCCGGTACTGGGAATCGAACTCACAACCTTGCGCTTGCCAGGCAGGCGCTGTGCCGCTGAGCTAAATCCCCAGCCCCAGAAAGTAGAATATTAATATTCTTTAGCAACAAGAAGACTCAGGAGAGTAAGGGAATTCAAAAGACACACAGAATTAAAATCAGAATGCTCTTTATATGAGACAAAGAAAAATACTGACAATAAAGGTCTGAGAAAACTCGTTCGAAGCAGATACAAAGAAAGAAGACATGGCCATGTGAAGAACAGACACCTCCCAGACACCGATGGGACTGAAGTGATGATTTGCTACAATGAAGACTGGTAACTCTGGGTCACAGAGCCATCACTGGTGTACGTGAAGAAAAAGCAGGTGTGGGAACCAGCAGAAGCAGGAAGCTGAAGCATATTTTCCTAATAAAAACTCTAGCACAAATGAATACATGGAAACTACCTAAATTTAACCAGTACCCCCTTACAGAAACCCTATAGCAAATGCTCATAAATTGCTGACATCAAGACCTTTAAAATCAGGAACAAGATAGACACATCTGCTATTATTATGACTATTCAACCTTTAAAATTTCCAGTGATACACGAGAAGACATGGAGTACAGTAAGTTACATAAATATTGAAAGAAGCAGACTAGTTTTGAATCTGTGGATGACTTGATCATATATGTGAGTGTCTCAGGGAACTTTACTAAAAAGTAGCAGCATTAATAAGGGCAGTTGATAAGCAGACCATTGAAACATAGATGATGAAATCACTCATCTCCACAGCAGTAACATCAGGCTGGAAGTAGCCATGGGAAAGATTATATCTATGTCTATTTAAATCAAATGGTGACAAGAACAGTAAATCACAAATAAACAAGGAGACTCAAGATCTTTGGGACAAAAACTCTAAAAACTCATGAAAGGACAACAAAGCTACATAGAGTGACCATAAGAACTGTACAAAATAGAACAAATGTCTAATAATGAACTTTGAAAAAATGAGCAGAAAACTTATATCAACAGGTTGTACGACTTAAATGAAGTGTGTATAATAAAAATAGGATAGAATTTGCCTAAAAGAAGGATAGACCAAAGTACTAGTATTTGAAAACCCAAAATATATGCCAGTATATGTGAAAATGCTAAACGTGACATTTCAGTTCAGAGGGGAAAAGAATTTTTATTTTTAAAACTGTGTTGGAATCATCGGCCAGCCATGTAGAACAGATGAGAGCTAGACATCCTTTCTTCATATAATACACATGATTCCATAGTCTTACACCTTTTTATCACAAAAGCTAGCAGACAAAAGAAAAATAATGGATTGGGGAAAAATACTTGGCAACACACAGGATTAAGAATGGCTTACAACCCTTAATATACAAAGGACCTCCCATAGTGACAAGGAAAAGATGAACAGTTGCTTAGAAAAATAATCAACAGACATTAACAAGCAGCTACATAAAGCTGAATGCAAATAGTTTATGAACAGATGAAAAATATGCTCAAAATTATTGGTGATAAAAGCATGGAAATTGAAACAATAGATGTTTTAACCCAACAGGCTGGTGAAAATTAAAAGGCTCCAGTATCTACAGCTGACCAAGGTGTGGGGGACAGAGATTCCCAGGTATGTTGGTGAGAATGAGCCTCATACGGTTTTGGGGGCTGTCCACAGTTGAAATGCAGTGAACTCTTGGGACTCTGATCTGCATGAGCTAATACAGCCCACATATCTACCTATATCTATGTATCTATCTATATATACATCTATCTATCTATATATCTATATCTAATTTTTTTGTTGTTCCGAGAATTGAACTCAGGACTTGAGCTTGCCAGGCAGGCACTGTGCCGCTGAGCTATATATATCCCAGGCCCCAGTCCAGCTGTACCATAAGGGGCCCCCAACAGAAATAATCCAAATGTGCACCCAGAGGAGAAGGGCAGGTCACCTAAGTGACAATGACTGTGTTGATAAAAGGCACGTATTTAAGAGAATGAGTCACAGCCACATCAACTAATCTAGAGGAAGTCTACGAGAGTGCTACATTAAAAAGTCAAGTGGAATATAATGTAAATAACACAACAGTATTTTTTTTATTAAACTAGAAGACTAACTAAAATTAAGCCCTGTATGGGTTTATAAATGCTTATAGGACTTTGCATAAGCAAAGGTGGGAAGTGTTCCTCACCAGAGTGTACACAATTTAATGTATATCAAGGGAGGCAGCCTTGTAATTTTTTATTACATTTCCCTGTTGCTTTCACTGGTTATAGCAACCGGCACATAACTTTTGTTAATTTAAAAATGTAATAAAGGAAATTTTAAAAAAGAAATTGTTAAGTATTGTGGCCTGTTTAACCGATTTTGGAACATGTGAGAAAACAGCAGCAGAAGCCCAGGTTTCAGGCCCCTCGCACATGCAGCGGGCACTCACCGTTTTGCCGGCACAGCTGCTGGGCAGGGCGCTGGCTTCGATGAAATACTTCCTGAGGAGAAGCTTGCTGAGGTCGGGACTGTCCAGGAGGATGTAGGAGCAGAAAAACGCCCCATGCCGAAGCAGGAATATGGCAATGTCTTCATTCCCTAGCGGGATAAAATACAGAAAGCTAAGGACAGCGGAGTGTGGGCATGCATGCATATAATCCAGTACTCTGGGAGGCTGAGGCAGGAGAAATCTCAAGTTCAAGTCCGACTTAGTAAGATTCTGTCTCAGAATAAAAAATGGGCTGGGGATGTAACTTAGTGCAAAGCCTATGGATGTGATCACCAGTACTGCAATAAATAAAAAAATAAGTAAGGTAGATAAAAAAGCAAGCAAACCAAGGACATTCAGAGATGGAATGGGTCACGACTGTCCGAAATGGCAGGCTCCCCTCTGCACCCTGTGGACTTCTCCTTTCCCTCCCTTGGCGCACCGGGTTCCTGGCAGCAAGAGGGCTTCTGTGGGAATCTGCTCTTTGGAACGCCTCACACAAGGCCCATTTGCCCCAGTTGGTCCCCATCACAGAAATCCTCTTAGGGGCAGGTGAGCCGGGGAGGAGGAGGCTCCAGAGGTTTCAGAGAAGAAGCGCAGCAGGGAGTTGCAAAGCTTCCCCTGGAGGTGACCTGAGCACCAGGGAGCCGCGCCCAGGTGTGGGAAGGGGGCAGCTCACAGCTGTGCGGGGCGCACGTACCTGACTTGATGGCCGCGTAGAGGGGCAGGCGCACGATGACGGGGAACTCGTTCCTCCGGACGGCGTAGCTCTCGGGGTCGGCCCCGTGCGTCAGGACCAGGAGCTTCACGATGCCCAGGTGCCCCTGCTGGCAAGCCAGGGCCAGCATCCAGTTCAGCAGGCGCTGGGGGCTGGAGGGACCTGGCGGAGGCGACAGATCACAGCGTATCAGTTTGCTCCTAAACCCATCTGCTTGTCAAGGAGCGGAGAGAAGAGAAGCAAGCTCCTCAATAAAAAAAAGTACATGTGGAAATCAAGGCTAGACTTCCACATGGCAGAAATCTCTCTGGGTCGTGGGGTTCTGACCAGTGTGTGGATCACCCTAATTCCTGCCTTGACCTTATCCCACAGCAGCACTGCACACAGGAGTGTGGCTTTGAGGCAGGAAGCTCAGGGTTAAACTATCCTAGTTGTGTAATTTTGGACGTACTTTGTAATCTCTCTCTGCATCAGTTTATCTATCAGTAAATGGGTATATTAATACTATTCTCTCAAGTGTAATGCAAGGGTTGCATAACTTAATGTGTGCCAAGTGCCTGGATCACTAGATCCTAACTCATTATATTGTGTCATCCTGTTATCAGCACTAACACTGGTACTTCTCAATTACCTGTAATGTATACAAAGCTGTTATACCTTTTCTTTAACAACAAAAAAAAAGCTTTGACAGAAGAAATAGATCTAGCTCTGCAGCCTGAAAGGTTTAGGATTGTTCCCTGAAAGAAACGCCTACTTAATTCCAGGACAAAATAACACTTAGCACATCAAACGCTCAGGGACCGCGTGGGCTGAAGTGTCATTGTATCTTCAAGTTCAAATTAGCGCAATATCTTCTGGATCCCGTTGCCATGGAAAAGTGACCTCATCTTCTCAAACTTCCCAACTACATTCTGACATTTTATTTGCAGAAGTGCGAAGTTCTCAGGGACCCGTGTGCTCTCGAGCGTGGCGAGGGTGCCCTTCCCCATGTGATGGGACACTGGCCAGGAAGCAGATCAGGATGAAAGGGATTAAAATTCAGAGTCTGCAGGCTCCGGGCTGGAGCGGGTGACAACCCTCCAGTAAGCCCTCCAGTGCCACCCAGAAGGAAAGATCAGAGCTCTACCAGCAGCAGATGTGGTCCCTGACTTGCTCCCTGCGCTGTTATCGAGGCAAGAGAAATACCGTCGCCATCTCACTGCCTTCCACTGAGCCGTGGGTGCGTCAATCCTGACGCAGGTTATTATATCTCAGAACCCCGGCTTTAAGAAACCAGAGGAAATCAGAGCTCAGAGAGGCTGGAAACTTGTGGAAGGTCCCACAGTTGGTAAAAGGCAAAGTCAAGACTTAAATCTTGTTTTGGCTAAAGCCAAAAGCTGCCCTCTTCGCCAGAGAAAACCCTACATGGATTTTTGAGGCCTAAACCCAACACTCAGAGGGAGCCCCAGTTTGGTGTCCACCTCTCCTCCCCGGCCAACAGCTTCTCGAACCAGGAATTATGTCCCCGGAAGAGTTCAAAGGACCTTCTGCTATCATCCTCTCACTGTTCTCCTCAGGCCTTGCTTCCTGCGCTGGCTGCCTCGTGTTTGTCCTCTGGTCCTACTTCACTCCTGCCCAGGCTGTGTTCCCCTCCGGCACGGCAGCTCCCAGAGGCTCACCCTGTTTGCCCATCTGAGCACTTCCTGTGAGGTCCACCACAATGTTCTGGAACCCTTCAGTGCTCACCAACTGCCCGGAGATGAAAGACAGGATGCTGAGTTCCAGCCCAGCTTCCGGCTTGTGGAAGTAGGCAACCCAAGCCCTTCCCTTGTTTGTGTGCTGAGTGAACTGCCATTCACCCCAGAAAGCCTGCTCAGATGTCAGCCTCTCCCTGAAGACTCAGCCTGGCATGCAGGCGAGATCATCCCTGATGCACGTTCCCAGACCTCTGTGTAAGGACTTCAGCCTCAGCATGATTACATTTCAGTCACTCCGTTTTAACTTGATTCTTCCTGCTTTTCCAGGGCCCACTGAGGGCTGGGACCACCTTTTAGAAATTCTCTAGCCAGGCATGGTGGCTTGTGCCTATAAACCCAGCACTTGGGAGGCTGAGGCAGGAGGATAGCTGCTAGTTTGAGGCCACCTGGGCTACACAGTAAGTTCAAGGCCAGCCTGAAGCACATAGCAAGACCCTGTGTCAAAACAGAACAAAATAAAACAAAACTAAAAAGCCACAAAACGTTCTCTGTGTCTCCCAGGTTCTGAGGGATGCTCAGTTCTTGGCAAACGCTCAGCAAATGTGAGCTGTACAATTCAGAGACCCAGTCAGCTGTGTAGACTCTTTGGGGCTGGAACGGAGCTAATCTAACCTAGCAGTGTCTGAAAAGAGGGTCAGCTTGTGGCTCTTGAAGGTGCCTGGCTCCTCTCTGTCCTTCATGACTTGCCTCAGGTGGTCCCCTTATGCCGACCTTAAGCTTGTCCTGCCATAACCTCATTCCCCCACCAGCACGTGAGGGGCACCGGTTTGGAAGTAGCTCTGAGGGTAGATCCGTCTCAGTGCACACGGTTGGGCACCCCCAAAAGAAGTGCCACACAATGACTGGGGCTCAATGCAAAATGGAAACAAAAACAGGGCCCCTTGTTTAAAAATGATGAAAAATTTCAATATGGCAACTATGGAGTATTAAATCAGGAGTGGGGCCATTCTAGGTGCATGAAGCCAGCCTTGATGCCAGGCAAAATTCCAACTCCCAAAGACCATTTCTTGGGTCTGCCCTGGCCCATAGTGATAGTGCTGCATGCCTAGACTCGCCCACTGTCACTGAGCTCAGGCCACCATGGGAAATTACAGGACACCAGGACACCTTGAGACCACCAGAGGCAGAGCTATGAATGTAACACAGCTTGGCTCATCCACAAATGGAATATTACTCAGTCATAAAAAATGAACCATCAAGTCAAGAAAACATACGGAAGAACTTTAAAAGCGTATTGTAGGGTGAAAGAAACCAATCAGGCTAGATACAGTATGATTCCAACCATAGGACATTTGAGAGAAGGCAGTAAAAGATCAATGGTTGCTAAGAGCTGAGGGGAGGAAGACCTGAATAGTCAAAGAATAGGGGATTTTTAGGGCAGTGAAACTATTCTTTATGATATAGCAATGGTGGATATATGCTATTTTACATTTGTCAAGATTGATAGACTATGTGACATTGAGAATAAATCCTACTGTAAACTTTGGAGTTCAGTAATAACATCAATACTGTTATCAATTAAAACAAATGCACTCAATGAACACAAAGTGTAAATAATAGAGGAAGAGGTATATAGGGGGTATACGGGAACACTGTACTTTCCTATCAGTTTTTTAATCCTAAAATTGTTCTAAAAATTTTCAATTAAAAAATAAGCTGCATAGATCTATATTTTTTATCAAGAGTGATGGGTGAGTGCTTCCCTTGTAGGTTAATGGGGCAAAGCACAGGACATCAGGCAGAGTGGCAGGCAGTCTGCATTTTGGGGTGTCAGCTGGACCGCCCCAGTCTTCCTGATCTTGTTGCTGAAATCATGAAGAAGGAATTTTGGTTGAAGCCTAAGAAGAGGGTCCCGAGGGTAGGGAGCGAGTGTGCTGTGACTCACCTGCTAAGGACTCGAGCAATTCCCGTACAACTTCAGTGTGCCCGAGCTGCGCGGCCACCACGGCGGGGTTGTCATCGGTGGGCTCCGTGGGCAGTTCTACGCGTTTCTCGGTGAGTAGATACTGGACTGCCTCTAGATCCCCGTGGGCTGCCGAGATGCTCAGGAGCTGACCCTAGTCAGAGCACAGCAGGGCGTCAGTGAGACAAGCGCTGTCTAGAGCCACCAGGTGAAGTGACTTTGAAGTCCAGGGCAAGGCTGGAACCTCCCAGCCCAGGTTGGCAACACCTGCCATGCTCGGCTTGTGACTGTCCCAAAGGGCAGTAAGAGGATGGAAATTCCAACGGTTTCAGAGACCTAGTCCAAAAGGTAGACTAGTTCACCGCTAAGCTGATTATGTGGGGCAACAATGCTCTTTAATGTACATACAGGTGCTCCTCAATCAACAATGGGTGACATTCCAAACAGACCCATCGTAAGTTGAAAACACTGCAAATCAAAAATTCATTGAATCTGCCTAACGTACCAAACACCCTGGTCCAACAACACAGCACCCTGGGGCGTCAGCTCTTTCCCTCGGTGACCCTGTAGCTCCCTGTCACTGTAGCTTGCTGCCCCTGACCAGCACTATAGGAGAGGGTTGGACAGCACATAACTAGCTTGGGAAAAGAGCAAAATTCAAAACCCAAGTATGACTTTTACTGACAGCATATGATTTCACACCAGCCCCAAGTCAAAAATCATTATGAAGGGTGATTAAATAATACGGTGAATGTTTTAATTTATTTTAGAAAAACTTATTACTTTAAAAGCCACACTACGAACGATGATAGGATAAGTGTATTCAAAACATGGAGAGTATTTTGTGTATTATGAGGCAGATGGATAGAAATGTGCCTTTTCTGCAATACATCCTTTAATCTAAACATTTACTGTATTTGCTGATCACCTCTCATTGAGAGGTGCCTCAGCCTCCCAAGCATTTATGGGAATTTCTGTCAAATAAAGTATTATGGTGTGTCCTCATCCACCTTATGCACCAGATCTGGCACCAAGTGACTTCCGGCTCTTCCCCAAGGTCAAAATGGCCATGTAAGGTGGAGCTGCTTCAGGTGAGCTGCTTCAGGACATCGAGGCAGCCACATCAGCACAACTAAAGAGGATTTCCAGAACTGCTTCACAAAGTGGCAAGAATGACGGAGCTAGTGTGTGGGATGCAAGCAGAGTATTTTGAAGGGGATTAATGGTAATATTTCTTTTACTCTAATAAAATTTTAAAAACTTAAGCATTCCCTGCATTTTATCACTTCTCATAAGTCACACCACTGTGAGTTGGAAACCACCTATATCCAGGTTAAATAAAATAATATTAACATTTCTTCTGTTTCTGTCCCCTCTCCCTTCTTACTCGCCCTCCCTCTCCTCTTAGTTTTATTTTCTGACACAAGGTCTTGTTATGTAGTTCAGGCTGACCTTGAACTTGCTATGCAGTTCAGACTGGCCTCAAACTGCCTCAGCCTCCCAAGTGCTGGGATTACACACATGCACCACCACACCAGGTTGTTTACTTCTTTAATGTGGCTTAGAAAATTTGACACTGTCTACGTGGTTTACATTCTGCTTCTACTGAACAGCACTACTCCTGACCGTCTGCCTTGTGAGGATCAGGACTGTGTGAGTGTCCCCTCTTGACATAGAGCCAGAGCTCAACTGCCCACTGACACATGTTGAGTGAATTTAGGTAAAGGGGAAGCAAGTAAACTCTGCGTAAGTCCTTCCTTCAGATTACTACAAGTGGAATGGAACAAATGAGAAGTCTCTACAGATCTCCACCCAGGGACAAAGGTCCTCTGGAGCCTGCAGTAGGACTCTAGACTTGGCAATCCAGAGGAAGAGATGGATGGGTGGATGCTGGACCTGCACCTGACCTCCGACTTCATTCTAGCTACTCTGGTGTACGGAGCTCCATAAGGCATGCAGCATATTAATAAGGGGTAAGGATACAGGTAGCCTCGTCCAGGTTCAGGGAGGTTTCATAACTCGCCCAAGTTCACACAGCCCATCAGTGGCTGCCACAGACTAACGTAAAATGGCTCTGATATTTCACAAGCTCCCGGGGTCCACAGCGAGGATGCTCAGGTAGATGCTGCATTGGTGGGTGACCTGTGAGGTGGGGTTATTGGCATTTTAGGTCCTACTGGAATATGGCAGCTTCCACAGACTTGAGCATCAGCATGTTCAAGGAGGCAGAATGAGACAGCTGCGGCCACTATCATTTATGGAAGACCTACTATGTGTAAGACACAAGGCTGGGCCCAGAGAGTGGCAGGGCGATTTCTGGCCTCCATGAATTTACAATAAAGTTCAAGTGGGAATCGGTCAAAATAGTCAGCCACCAGCATTTATAATTTGCTGAATGACCACTGGAGAGCATGTTAGGGTGAGATGGGCAGAGATGGGTGAGTGGATCTCCGAGAAAGGGAAATGGTGCTTGTCAAACTCTGCCCACACGCTGGGTGATGATTTGGGTACCTGATTTCCGTGATCATATTCAACTCTCCTAAGTCACGCTAGGAATGAATCTACATTTCTATTCCTGAAGACATGAAAGCTCGCCCATTGAAAAGGGGTCTATGGTCAGCAGAACCACTCAGGGTGTGATCTGGAGTCCATGTAGCCCCAGAGCCCGTTTTCTGTCCACGCCATCCAAGACCTCCTGGAGGAGGTAGGGCCTAGAGCAGGACGCAGGATCAGTAAGTGCAGGGAGCGGGCCGGTGGTGGGCAGCGCGTGAGAAGCAAGGTGGGAGACTGTCGGGGGCTGGACTTGCTCGGAGGAGGCAGCGATGCACATATTCAATATGAGCAGAAAGGAAGAGCTGGCCCACCTGCTCCTCTGTCCGGGTGGAGGAGCCCTGCATTCCAGGAAAGCTGCGGCATTATGGAGAAAACCCACAGCGATTGATTAAGTGACTAATACAACCAACAGCTGTCTAGACTCCAGGCGATTACAGGCTTAAAAGCCCCATCCTCATGAGGTGAGGTGGTGGGTGATGTCACAGAGCCAGCCCAAGGCCAAGCGGGACGGGACTGTCTCCCTGGCTGGAGACAGCTGGAGGCTCTGTGGTACGCATCCACTTTAAATCAGTACAGAAGAGAACGCAGGGCTCCTTTTATGCCTCCCCTTCTGCAAGCCCCTCTCAGAGGCAAGCACGCTCACTCTGCCTTCTAGGACATGCTTAGCCGTATTTACAGGTAGTTCATACGGAACTCTATGTTCTTTTCACCCAATGCAATGTAACTGACATTCTGACAAAAAGTTTGGAAATTTTGTGCTCAGTTAATGAACTGCCACTGGATCACACCTCTGTGACTGTCCTCGATCAAGGAACTCAAGGAGCAAAACACTGCCTATGCAGAAGCCCACTACACCCCACTTCCGGTCACTGCCCTCCCAGGAGGAACCACTATCCTGATGGCCAGCACCCTAGATTTGCTTTTGCCAGTTTTGAGCAAAACTGCTAAGGCAGTCTGAGCTATATAGCAAGTTCAACATCATAAAAGGGAAGCCATAGTTGACATGTTGCTTTGAAATTTCTGATATGAGATCGATATTCACAGGAAGTTGCAAAAATAGTAACGGGAGGACCTGAGCAGCCTTCATCCAGTTTCTCCCGTGGTGACAGCTCACAATACTGCGGCCCTATATCCAAACCAGCAGTGTGATGTTAGCGCAGTGCATGTATACAGTTCTGCCTTTTGTCATATGTGTGAACTTAAGTCATCACCACCAGAGTCGCAACAAAGAACTTTCATCTACCAACGACATTTCCTTCAGGCTACCTCTTTAATGTTATCCACACTCCTCTCCTCTGCCGTGCCTATGCCCAGGCAACCTCTAATCTGTCTTGCGTTTCTGTGACTTGATGGGATTACAAATGGAGTAACATATATATAGCGTCTGAGCCTTCCCCCCAGCTCAGCATAATGCCCTTGAGATCCACCCGAGCTGCTGCATGCTTCCACAGTATGAGTCCATGTCACCCACCTGCTAAGAGTTAGTGATTAAGCCTAGTTTATGGCTATTACAAAAACACCCATGCTATGAACAATCGTGCACTTATTTTAGTGGGTACCCAGGTTTCATTTCTCTAGAATAAGTGCTCAGTTCAACTGCTGTGTCATAATGTAAGCATATTTTTAGTTTTGAAAGAAACTACCGAACTATTTCCAGAGTTTCTGTACCATTTCACATTCTCACTAGTAACGAATGAGGGATACCGTCCCTCTGCATTCTTACCAGAATTGGGTGTTCCCACTACATAGCGGTTATTTTAGCCATTCTGTTAGGTGCAACGCAATTTCTCACTGTGATTTTAATTGGCATTTCTGTAATGGCTGTGATGCTGAATGGCTTTTTCTTGTGTTTATTTGCTGCCTATTCAGCAAAAGGTTTTTTTTTATGCATTTCATATATTTTTGAAATGAGCTGTTTGATTTTTAATGTTCAATTTTCAGATATTGTTTATCTTCCGGGTATGGGTCCTTTGTCAGGTGTGTTAACAAATACTTCCTCCTATTTTATTGCTTGTCTTTTTATCCTGTAACAGAGTATTTCTCAGAGTAAACGTTTCAGTCTTTATGAGGTCCACTTTATCAATGTTTAGTGGATAATTTCTTTTACAGATTTTCTATGTAGACCATCATGTCATCTGCAAAGACAGGATAGGTTTTTTTTTTTTTCCTTTCAGATCTATATTTAACTTCCTTGCCTTGCCATACTGGCTATAACTTCCAGTAGTATGTTGGACAGGATTATATTGAGTATAATTATATTATAGTTATTCTTGAACAGAATTCTCAGGACCCTTGGGAACCCTCGCCTTGCTCCTCACCTTAGGGAGAAAGCAGTCTTTCACCGTTGCTATGGTTTGAACACGGCTGCTCCCCTTCAAGATTCATATTCAGATTTGACTGCTGTTGTGGCCGTTAGGTCACTGAGAGTAACTAAGGCCCTGGTCATGGAAGGGGACTGGTCTTGCAAGAGCAGGAGGTTGTTAAGCAAGGCTGCCTCATGTGGTTTTTCTCTTCCAGGCATGCTGCTTGCTGTTCTCCCTTCTGCCATATCATGACGCAGCTCATACTCCTTGTCAGGACTCCATCTTGGACTTTAGGCCT